GGACCGGGAAGTTCAGAGGTCAATTTTTCATAAAAAGTTTTATATTCTTCTTCCGATCTTGAGTAAGATATTTTCTGTATAATTTCTAAGGCTCTAATTTTTTCCCCAGGGGTGATAACAAGTTTTCAGGTGTTATCTCTCTTCTGAAATTGCGCAGCAAATGAAAAAGGCATAACTGGAGATTACCATCAAGCATGACCTTTCCCAATACTTTCCGTTCGGACATATCTTTATCAGTTAATATAACTTTAACATTTAACATTTTCCCATTAAGAATTATGTTTTTTTAAACAGTTCTATAACGGATGACAACAAATCTTGATCGTAACAATGCAACGATTTCACGCTGTCCATTACCATCTACTGCAATTATGAAATAAAGGGGCACTCGTAGATTGTTTGTCTTGTATGTCGCATCAGCAACAATAACTTCGGGAAACTGTTCGAAAGTTGACAACATATATAGCTTCATCTTGAAAGAAGATTGTATTCAGGTTTTTGTCATCATATCCGATTTGTGTATAAATAATTTCAATAAAAATTTTATTTGACATAGTCTGATTAAAAAGACGGTTAAAATAGCAAAACCCTATATAGAGTAAGAGCGCTATTTTGCAGGAGCCGGCAAAATAGCGCCAAGGAGGCAAATTCATAAAATAGCCTCTAAGACAACAATGCTACTCAAGCCAATCAAATACATATTTTTAGATTTTAAAAAGTAACATTGTGAATTATTATACATTACTAAACTAAAGTTTTGATATTGCTAATGAAGTATTTAAATTCACGACTTGCTGTTAATACACTGGATATTATGGGAGAGTATAATGTTCATTCATATTTTACAAATGATTAAATGTGTTTTTTATGTAGATATTTTTAATATAATTTATCGGTCTCATCAGAGTGCTCCTAGACAGAAGGGAACTGCGAAAGAAGAAGAAGAAGTGACAGACAATTAGGAAAAAGTGAGGCGAAAGATACCAGAGGAACATTCAAATTCATATGTCGAAATAAAGCTGAAAACGCCATTGGTAAAAAAGAACTAGAGGCTCTAAAGAGCCTGTGTCGCTCACCTTGGTCTATGTGCATATTAAACAATGGACACAGATGGATTCATGACAAAATTGTGTTTTGGTGATGGTGATGTGTTTGTAGATCTTACTTTACTGAACATTCTTGCTCCTTACTATTATCTCTATCTATAATGAACTTGGCCCAGTAGTTACAGTGGAAAATATTTTGTAAAAATTTACAAAAATTTACAAAATTTATGAAAATTGTAAAAAATTGACTATAAAGGGCAATAACTCCTTAAGGGGTCAACTGACCATTTTGGTCAAGTTGACTTATTTGTAGATCATACTTTGCTGAACATTATTGCTGTTTACAGTTTATCTCTATCTATAATAATATTCAAGATAATAACCAAAAACGGCAAAATTTCCTTAAAATTACCAATTCAGGGGCAGCAACCCAACAACAGGTTGTCCGATTCATCTGTAAATTTCAGGGCAGATAGATCTTGACCTGATAAACAGTTTTACCCCTATGTCAGATTTGCTCTAAATGCTTTGGTTTCAGAGATATAAGCCAAAATCTACATTTTACCCCTATGTTCTATTTTTAGCCATGGCGGCCATCTTGGTTGGTTGGCGGGGTCATCGGACACATTTTTCAAACTAGATACCCCAATGATGATTGTGGCCAAGTTTGGTCAAATTTGGCCCAGTAGTTTCAGAGGAGAAGATTTTTGTAAAAGTTTACGGACGACGGACGGCGGACGCCGGACGCAGGACGACGGACGACGGACGCAAAGTGATGAGAAAAGCTCACTTGACCTTTCAGGTCAGGTGAGCTAAAAAGAAAAAGAGACAAACAAAAGTACACAAAACACAACATAAAAAACTAAAGACTGAGCAACACGAACCCCACCAAAAACTGGCGTTGATATCAGGTGATCCTCAAGTGTCGATGGAAATCTGACTCATAAGAAAAGGTGACCAGGAGAGGTGCACAGTTAGTTCCCTTAGGAATACCGACAACCTGCATGCCTTCAAATAAAATATAGGATCAAGTAAATAAATTAAGACTGAAGACAACAACATGAACTAGTACACATTCTTCTTTTAGGGCCAGCTGAACCCCACATCCGGGTGCAGAATTTTCTTGCTGTGTTGAAGACCCATTGGTGGCCTTGGGCTGTTTTCTGCTCTTCGGTCGGGTTGTTGTCTCTTTGACACATTCCTCATTTTCACTCTCAATTCTATTATTAAGAATTAAGAGCTGTTAAATAAATTCCCATAACTCAGAAAAGTGAAATTTAAAATTTATAAAAATCGAAATGGAGCTTATGTCAATAGATATTAACAACTTTGACAACGAACAGACGGACGTATACAAAAAATATACCATAATACATCCCATAAACAGGCGTATAAAAATGAAATAACAAAGTTACTGAATTAACCAATTAACGCCAATAAAGCTAGTGGCCAAGACAAAATATCCTTCATAATATAATATTTAGAGCGGAGGAAATATTACCTTATCTGAAATATATAATTTGAAAGATCATTATACCTAAAACAAGTTCCAAACAATTTGACAACTGCAAATGTAACAATATTATTCAAGAAAAAAATCAAAATGATATTAAAGAAATATAAAATGACAAATATAACCCCACAAGAGACAGATTATTCGGTCTACATAAACTAGACCACTTGATGGAGGACGTCAAAGGAAACATCCGTTGAATATTTTATCTTGGATAAAGCTTTTACATTTCATAACGTGTGGTTTGTTTGATCTTAGTTCTTCGTTGCTCAATTTCAATAAGGCAAATTTCTTGCTATTCTCTGAGTTTGCTAATGTGACGTCAAGAAATACAAGGCACAATGCATGACTTAGCATAAAAAGAACACATAATTTTACTGATCATTGGAAAAGAACTATCAGAATTGACTTTCTTGACATTTGTAGCTTTACTGCTAAACTAGGACTTAACCTATAGCACTCCTTGTGGTCTCGAAGGGGGATGAGCAAAGGCCTGAAACAGAAATGAATAAAACAGTGAAGTTTCTTCATGGTTTTATTTCTTGAAAAGCGCATAAAGAAGTCATATCAATAATATTATGATCAAATACAATAATCTATTATAAAATGCGAATAATAGAAACTTATAATTCATTTAAGTTCCCAACTAAAGTGAGCATTAAACAAACTTTACTAAATTGCATGAGCATATGCATATAAAAAATGAATATGTACGCTTATTGTTACTCATATAAGCAAGAGGTTCTCAAGAACCTGAATCGCTCACCTGTATTTTTTTGCTTAAATCTTTCATCAATGATTATTTTTGCTTTTCAATATATATTAATAAATGGCTTAAAACTTCCATTGAAATGTTCTTTGTATCTGTCATATTTTCTTCAAAATCACAGAAATGCATTTTACCCCTATGTTTCATTTTAGCCATAGTGGCTATGTTTCTTGACGTACAAGAAAATAAAATACAAAATTTATACTAGATACTCTGAAACTCATTCAGCCCAAGTTTGACTGAAATTGATTCAGCAGTTTCCAAGGAGAAGATTTTTTAAAGTAAGCAAACTAAATGAACAAATTGTGAAAAATTGATTTTAAAGGGCAATAACTCCTTAAGGGGACAATTGACAATTTCGGTCATTGAACTTATTTGTAGATCTTACTTTGGTGAACATTTTTGCTGTTTACAGTTTATCTTTATCATTACTAATATTCGAGATAATAACCAAAATCTGCAAAATTTCCTTAAAATTACCAATTAAGTGGCAGCTATCCAACAATGGGTTGTTAAATTCATCTGAAAATTTCAGGGTTGACAGAGCTTGGCCTAATAAACATAGCTCTAAATGCTTTGGTTTTTGAGATATAAGCCAAAAATTGCATTTTACCCCTACGTTCTATTTTTAGCCATGGCGGCCATGTTTTTTTACGAAACAGAAAATAAAACACATACTTTATTCTAGATTCCCTTAGAATCATTCAGCTTAAGTTTGGTTGGAATTGGTTCAGTAGTTTCAGAGAAGATTTTTTAAAGTTAGAAAACATGATAAACAAATTGTATAAAATTGTCCTTAAAGGGCAATAACTCCTTAAGGGGTCAATTGACAATTTTGATCATATGAACTTATTTGTAGATCTTACCTTGCTGAACATTTTTGCTGTTCGCAGTTTATCTTTATCATTAATAATATTCAAGATAATAACCAATAAAATGCTCCGCTGGGCGCAGCTTGATACGACCGCAGAGGTCGAACCCTGAACAGTTGGGGCAAGTATGGACACAACATTCAAGCTTGATACAGCTCTGAATTTGGATTGTGATTAAATATTTGACACAGCATAGGTTTCTGACACAGAATGAATGTGGTCTAAGAACTTAAATTTTTTTAATTTACCTATTATGGTCCAATATCCAAAATCTAAATACATGGTTAGATTCGGCATATCAAAGAATCCAAAGAATTCAATTTTTGATGAAATCAAACAAAGTTTAATTTTGAACCTTTTGACCTCAATGTGGACCAATTTGATAACGGGGCCCAAAAATCAAAATACATGGTTAGATTCAGCATATCAAAGAACCCCATATATTCAATTTTTGTTGAAATCAAACAAAGTTTAATTTTGGACCCCAACTTGGACCAACTTGAAAACTGGACCCATAATCAAAAATCTAAACACATGTATAGATTCAGCATATCAAAGAACCCCATATATTAATTTTTTGTTAAAATCAAACTAAGTTTAATTTTGGACTCTTTGGACCTTAATGTAGACCAATTTGAAAACTGGACCCAAAATATTTGAAATTTGAAGAAAAAAATAATATTTGAAGAATAATTCTTTTTAATTTCTGAAATCTGAAATGAGAAAAAATTGACCCCCCCACAATTTCTTTTTACCCCCCCCCCCCCCCCCCTTCCCCCCCCTCAAATCTTTCCCTCAAGATATGGTCATAATCTCAATTCAAATTTCCAATGGAATTTGCAACCATAATTACCCATTTAAATTTACCATAGTGCTAACTTAATTTATTTTATAATAGAATTTAAAATACGGTGTCAAATCTTTCATATGGATTTTTTTGTAAAATGCAGATATTTTTACTGGTCTTCCTTTATAAATATGCATTTCTTTAAACATAATTTAAAAGCAGTGTAAGGGAAGTAATCAAAGTGTTATATGTGGATTACCTCCCTTACACTGTTTTAAATTGTCTTAATTGTTCATTAACCATTACTTTATAAATAGTTTAAAAGCAGTGTAAGGGAGGTAATTCAAATGATGCATTTGATTTATCTCCCTTACACTGCTTTAAATTATGTTTTGTATTAAAGTATTTGTCCATATAAAAATGCTTGTTTTTTGCCCCTTTTATGGCCCCTAATTCCTAAAATTTTGAGGCAATTACCCCATAAATCAATCCCAGCATTCCCTTTGTGATATGGAACCTTGTGGTACAATGTCAGAGAGATCCATACACTAACACACAAGTTATGTCTGGAAGTTACAAAAATGCTTATTTTTGGTCCCTTTTTGGCCCCTAATTCCTTAACTGTTGGTACCATAACCACCAAAATCAATCCCAACCTTCATTTTGTGGTATTGAACCTTATGTTAAAATTTCATAGAGATCCATTCACTTAAACTAAAGTTAGAGTGCGAAAACCAGTGTGTCTTCGGACGACGACGACGCCAACGTCATACCAATATACGATCGCAAAAATGTTTTTGCGGTCGTATAAAAACTGCAAAATTTCCGTAAAATTACCCAACAAGCAACCCAACAATGGGTTATCAGATTCAACTGAAAATTTCAGGGCTGATAGAACTTTATCTAATGAACACTTTAACCCCGTGTCAGATTTGCTCTAAATGCTTTGGTTTTTGAGATATAAGCCAAAAACTGCATTTTACCCCCATGTTTTATTTTTAGCCATGGCGGCCATGTTATTTGAAGAAACAGTAAATAAAACAAAAACTTTATTCTAAATACCCTAAGCATCATTCAGCTTAAGTTTGGTTGGAATTGGTTCAGTTGTTTTAGAGGAGATGTTTGAAATAGTTTACACCAGACGGATGACGACAGACGATGAAGGACGGGAAGTGATGGCAAAAGCTCACTGTTCCTTTGGAACGATGAGCTAAAAATAGCATTCAAATATGTGAACAATTTGCTAAAAATATCAGTAAATCAATAACTGCTGTGACCTTGACCCCCCCAAATCATTATTCCATGAGGCATTATCAAAGCAGAATAGTGAATGATGTATATAGAATTTAAAAGATTTAAACAGGAAACCAAAATTTTGCCTGAATTTCAGTAAATTAATAGCTGCTGTGACCTAGATCCTTTACCCTATTGACCTAAAAATCAAAATGAGATCTTCCTCACTACTTTAAAGCATTATCACATCAATTCTGTTAAAGATGTTGTTTATGACTAATTGAACTATTAGAGTATCATTTTTATCATAAATAGGCTATAAAGTACAAAGACTGTAATTGATAATGTGTTGCCAAAATGTACTTTGGTTCTAAGAAAGCAATGTAGAAACTTAGCATAAGTAAATATTTGGTTGTGAGTAAATGTAGAAATATAGCATAAGTAGATATTTGATTGTGAGCAAATGTAGAAATATAGCATAAGTAAATATTTGATCGTGAGCAAATGTGGAAATATAGCATAAGCAGATATTTGATTGTGAGCAAATGTAGAAATATAGCATAAGTAGATATTTGATTGTGAGCAAATGTAGAAGTATAGCATAAGTAGATATTTGATAGTGAGCAAATGTAGAAATATAGAATAAGTAAATATTTGATTGTAAGCAAATGTAGAAATATAGCATAAGTAGATATTTGATTGTGAGCAAATGTAGAAATATGGCATAAGTAGATATTTGATTGTGAGCAAATGTAGATATATAGCATAAGTAGATATTTGATTGTGAGCAAATGTAGATATATATAGCATAAGTAGAGATTTGATTGTGAGCAAATGTAGAAATACAGCATAAGTAATTATCTAATTGTTATAAGCAAACGTAGAAATATGACACAAGTAATTATTTTATTGTGAGCAAATGTAGAAATATGGCATAAGTAAATATTTGGTTGTGAGCAAATGTAGAAATATAGCATAAGTAGAAATTTGATAAAAGTGTTATAGAAATACAATAGCTAACAATATAAAATAGTAAAACAATTAATTGCAAATCTAATAAAATGCTTCGCTAGGCGCAGCTTGATACGATCGCAGAAGTCGAACCCTGAACAGTTGGGGCAAGTATGGACACAACATTCAAGCTTGACACAGCACTGAATTTGGATTGTGATTAAATATTTGACACAGCATAGTTTTCTGACACAGAATGAATGATGAATGTGTTCTATGAACTTAAAAAATTTTAATTTACCTATTCAAACCATATCATTATTATTTGCTTTTATATATAAATCAGAAATAACCAATTTAAAATGAAAAATTTTTAAGAAAAAAAAGGAACCCCCCCTCCCCATTTTTTGAACCCCCTTATGATTCATCATCCCCAAACTCAATCCCAGCCTTCCGTTTGTGGTATGGTACCTTTCAGTACAATGCCAGAGAGATCCATACACTTGAACACAAGTAATTGTCTGGAAACTAGAAAAATGCTTGTTTTTTGGCCCCTTTTTGGCCCCAAATTCCTACACGTTTAAGGCAATTACCCCCAAACTCAAACCCAACTTTCCCTTTGTGATATGGAACCTTGTAGTACAATTTCATAAAGCTCCATACACTTACACACAAGTTATTGTCATGAAACTAGAAAAATGCTTTTTTTTGCCCCTTTTTTTGCCCCTAATTCCGAAAATTTTGAAGCAATTACCCCCAAAATCAATGCCAGCATTCCCTTTGTGATATGGAACCTTGTGGTACAATGTCAGAGAGATCCATACATTAACACACAATTTTTGTCTGGAAGTTACAAAAATGCTTATTTTTGGCCCCTTTTTGGCCCCTAATTCCTTAACTGTTAGTACCATAACCCCCAAAATCAATCCCAACCTTCCTTTTGTGGTATTGAACCTTATGGTAAAATTTTATAGAGATCCATTCACTTAAACTAAAGTTAGAGTGCGAAAACTAATGTGTCTTCGGACGACGACGACGAGGACGCCAATGTCATATCCAATATAGGACCGGTCGTATAAAAACTACTATACAACACAAACAATTACTTGCAAATCTAAAAACTGCTATACAACACATTATATATAAGCAAATACCGGTAAGTGTATTTTTAACAATACATTTACACTCATTTATTTATTTATTTGATTAAACACAGGATTAGGCTTTACATTGAGGCTTTTTGATAAAGAACAGCATATTGAGCAAAAGATACTATGAGCAAAATAAATTGTAAAATTAATCAGAAAAAAAACATACAAAATAATAATATGATACTGTACATTTATAAAAGGTTTTCTTTTTTTGTTTTGGAAAATAACAACCTTCACAAAACAAGCATTCTGGGAGTATTGCATGGCAATACATAGTCCCCTACCGGTTAAGAATTCATTGTACTGGAACAAAATGCTTACTTTATCTACAACTTGTCATGATGTAAACTTCATAACAAATATCAAGTCAGTATATTCAAGCATGACTAAAAAAAGTGTGGAAAACTGATTATTTGAGTGAATTTTGTAAGTCCAAGGACCATAACTGTGCACAAAATCATCACTTGATCTGTAACTTGTCATGATAAACTGTATACCAATCATTAAATTGATAACTTCAAGCATGACAAAGAAAAAGTGCGGAAAACTTATGATTTTAGCAAATTTTCTAACTCCAAGGACCATAATAAACTCTGCACAAAATCATCAGACAGGAACATAATTCGAACTTGATCTGTAACTTGTCATGATAAAACTATATACCAAATTTCAAATCAATATCTTCAAGCATGAAGTAAAAAAAGTGTGGAAAACCGATTTGCCGGACTGACGGATGGACAGACAGACAGACAAACAGACAGACAGACAGACGGAGTGCAAACCTAAAGTCCCCTTCGACTTCATCGGTAGGGGACTAATTACATTTATTTCTCTTTTTATTTTGGATTTGATTCCATAAAGATAATCAACCAGTTATAATAAACAATGAAACAGGGATGATTTTGCAAGTCTAGCATATCCTCCCCATCCAAGTGTTATTAAACATGCCCTCCTCTCATTTGTCCATATCACAGCCCTTGCTCATAGAATATTCAAGTCAGGAGACTGGTTATAAGATCTAGAGGGATATAATCAAATTTTTTAGAAATATTTTTGGAATTTGAAACATTTCATGTACCGGTATTAACTTTTTTAACATTTAGAACATTTCTTTCTTGTCAGATTTCAATAGGCAATACTTTCATTTCCTGGGCTCGTTTGTGACATGTGAAAAGGTGCTAGTAATCTGTTTAACTAAGTCTCATAACGCCTGTTTAAAAGAAGGGGGAAAATCAAAAGGTTGCTTACCTTTGCTTTTTAGTGTAAAGTTTAAGAAAGATTGATGTAACAATCCTTGAATTATTGTATAAAATGTGATATTGTGATTTAAACCTAAAAGTTGAAAATCCCCGAACTCTGCCATAACAAAACAGATGATTTTCAAAAAGAAATACGAACTCACTTTTATCAATTCCAGAAACTAGGAGAATACCCTTTAGCATAAAAAACTGCCTAGATTTTATCATAAAAAGTCCTATTATTTGGAATGAAAATACAGAATTAACCAATCCATCCAAAAGTGGTGTTAAGTAAATTGATTTAGGCATACTAGATTTTTTTTGTATCTCAAATATCTTTCTGTACGCAACATCAACACAATAACAAAGGGTACATGCTAAAATATATAATAAATAAGAATTGGTAAAAGAACAAGCTAAAATAAAATATTTTCAAAATTGAATCTGTATATTTAAGAATGCATGCAGTTTCAGAAAGAATCTTAAGAAGCAACATGCAGATATGAAGTGATTATGTCATACATTGCAATTATGGAGAAGATTTTATATTGCAATGGCATATAAAGTACAGGGAAAAAACTCTTGTGCAATGCATCACATACATTCTTACAGAATTTCACTGCAAAACAAATATAGTTTTAAGGTGCAACATTTCTTATACTTTGCCAAAATGAAGTTTTATTTTTCTGTATATGCTTTAAAAAAAAAAAAATAATAATAAAATTGGGTCACCTTGATATACTTTAAGCAACAAGTCGTCCAAAATTGCAAAATTTGCATAGAAAATAAGAAAATAAAGGAAATAAAATGCTTTGCTGGGCGCAACTTTATACGACCCCAGAGGTCGAACCCTGAACAGTTGGGGCATGTATGGACACAACATTCAAGCTTGATACAGCACTGAATTTGGATTGTGATTAAATATTTGACACAGCATAGGTTTCTGACACAGAATGAATGTGGTCTAAGAACTTAAAAACTTTTAATTTACCTATTCAAACCATATCATTATTATTTGCTTTTATATATAAATCAGAAATAACCAATTTAAAATGGAAAATTTTAAAGAAAAAAAAGGAACCCCCCCCCCCAAATATTTCGAACCCCCTTATGATTCATCACCCCCAAACTCAATCCCAGCCTTCCCTTTGTGGTATGGTACCTTTCAGCACAATTTCAGAGAGATCCATACAATTGAACACAAGTTATTGTCTGGAAACTAGATAAATGCTTGTTTTTTGGCCCCTTTTTGGCCCCAAATTCCTAAACGTTTCGGGCAATTACCCCCAAACTCAATTACAGCTTTCCCTTTGTGATATGGAACCTTGTAGTACAATTTCAGAAATATCCAAACACTTACACACAAGTTATAGTCATGAAACTAGAAAAATGCTTGTTTTTTGCCCCTTTTGTGGCCCCTAATTCCTCAAATTTTGAGGCAAATACCCCAAAAATCAGTCCCAGCATTCCCTTTGTGATATGGAACCTTGTGGTACAATTTCAGAGAGATCCATACACTTGAACACAAGTTATTGTCTGGAAACAGGAAAAATGCTTATTTTTGGCCCCTTTTTGGCCCTTTATTCCTAAACGTTTCGGGCAATTACCCCCAAACTCAATTCCAGCTTTCCCTTTGTGATATGGAACCTTGTAGTACAATTTCAGAAAGATCCATACACTTTCACAGAAGTTATTGTCATGAAGCTAGAAAAATGCTTGTTTTTTGCCCCTTTTTTGGCCCCTAATTCCTAATATTTTGAGGCAATTACCTCCAAAATCAATCCCAGCATTCCCTTTGTGATATGAAACCTTGTGGTACAATGTCAGAGAGATCCATAAACTAAAACACAAGTTATGTCTGGAAGTTACAAAAATGCTTATTTTTGGCCCCTAATTCCTTAACTGTTGGTACCATAACCCCCAAAATCAATCCCAACCTTCCTTTTGTAGTATTGAACCTTATGGTCAAATTTCATAGAGATCCATTCACTTAAACTAAAGTTAGAGTGCGAAAACCAATGTGTCTTCGGACGACGCAGGACGACGCCGGACGACGACGACGACGACGCCAACATCATACCAATATACGACCGCAAAAATGTTTGCGGTCGTATAAAAATGCTTGTTTTTTGCCCCTTTTTTGGCCCCTAATTCCTAAAATTTTGAGGAAATAACCCCCAAAATCAATCCCAGCATTCCCTTTGTGATATGGAACCTTGTGATACAATGTCATAGAGATCCATCATTAACACAGAAGTAATGTCTGGAAGTTACAATAAAATGCTCCGCTGGGCGCAGCTTGATACGACCGCAGAGGTGGAACCCTGAACAGTTGGGGCAAGTTTGGACACAACATTCAAGCTTGATACAGCTCTGAATTTGGATTGTGATTAAATATTTGACACAGCATAGGTTTCTGACATAGAATGAATGTGGTCTAAGAACTTAATAATTTTTAATTTACCTATGATGGTCCAAAATCCAAAATCTAAATACATGGTTAGATTCAGCACATCAAAGAATCCAAAGAATTCAATTTTTGATGAAATCAACAAAATTTAATTTTGGACCCTTTTGACCTCAATATGAACCAATTTGATAGCGGGGCCTACACATAAAATATCTAAATACATGGTTAGGTTCAGCATATCAAAGAACCCCATATATTCAATTTTTGTTGAAATCAAACAAAGTTTTATTTTGGTCCCCAATTTGGACCAACTTGTAAACTAGGCCAAAAATCAAAAATCTAAATACATGTTTATATTCAGCATATCAAAGGACCCCATATATTCAATTTTTGTTAAAATCAAACTAAGTTTAATTTTTGACCCTTTGAACCTTAATGTAGACCAATTTGAAAACTGGACCCAAAATTAAAAATCTAAATACACGGTTAGATTCGGCATAACAAATAAATAAATGTGGTCAAAGATTTTACAAATCTAATGCGCCATACTGTGCAATTGAAGATTACTTTTGAAATTTGAAAAAAAAAATAATATTTGAAGAATAATTCTTTTTAATTTCTGAAATCTGAAATGAGAAATAATTGACCCCCCCCTCCCTTCCCCCCAAAAAAATGCTTTCCCTCAAGTTATGGTCATAATCGCAATTCAAATTTCCAATTACCGATTTAAATTTACCATAGTGCTAACTTAATCTATTTTATAATAGAATTTAAAATATGGTGTCAAATCTTTCATATGGATTTTTTTGTAAAAAAAAAAAAGATGCAACATTTGCAGATATTTTTAATGGTCTTCATTTATAAATATGCATTTCTTTAAACATAATTTAAAAGCAGTGTAAGGGAAGTAATCAAAACGTTGTATTTAGATTACCTCCCTTACACTGTTTTAAATTGTCTTAATTGTTCATTAACCATTACTTTATACAGAATTTAAAAGCAGTGTAAGGGAGATAATTCAAATATTGTATTGTAATATCTCCCTTACACTGCTTAAAATTATGTTTTGTATAAAGTATTTGTCCATTAACCAGGAAAACCTTGTTTTTCCCCCTTTTTTGCCCCGAATTCCTAAACGGTTTGAGCCACAACCCCCTATAGCAAATCCTAACCATCCCTTTGTGGTATGAAAACTTGTGGTATAATTTCAGAGCGATCCATACACCGTTCCACAAGTTATTGTCTGGAAACTAGAAAATGCTTATTTTTGGCCCCTTATTCCTAAACTGTTGGTACCATAACCCCCAAAATCAATCCCAACCTTCCTTTTGTGGTATTGAACCGTATGGTAAAATTTCATAGAGTACCATTCACTTAAACTAAAGTTAGAGTGCGAAAACCAATGTGTCTTCGGACGACAACGACGATGACGACGACGTCGACACCGAAAACGACGCCAACGTCATACCAATATAAAACCCCAGAATTTTTTTGCGGTCATATAAAAATGCTTATTTGTGGCCCCTTTTTGGCCCCTAATTCCTTAACTGTTGGTACCATAACCCTCAAAATTAATCCCAACCTTCCTTTTGTGGTATTGAACTTTATGGTAAAATTTCATAGAGATCCATTCACTTAAACTAAAGTTAGAGTGCGAAAACCAATGTGTCTTCGGACGACGACGACGACGGACAACGACGCCAACTTCATACCAATATACGACTGCAAAAATTGTATGCGGTCGTATAGAAATGGTGTCACCGACCTTGTTTTCTTGCTACAAGTAACAATGAAAATTTCTCTATCATTCCTTTATAACAGTTTTACTTTTGAGTTATCTCTCTTTTAATTGCTTAGTTGACAATTTGATTCGAACAAAAACAAATATTTGGTATTTGATAAAACAGTTTAAATAATTCAATAAATCACTTATTCTTCTTCAGAAATTGTACAATCAACAGGTCATTACAGATGAAGGGGACTAAATCTAGTTATGTTATCATATATGCTATAGAGTGTGCATGATTGTTTTAATCCCTGAACTAAAAGTACAAATGATTGTCCAACTGAACTGGTTCCAAACATACAACCAGCAATGTTAATAGTGTACCCGGACTGAACCAAAGTAAAGTATTATAATTTTTAATCTAAGGAAATAAAAAAAAAATTATTTCATTCCAAAAATAGATATTATAAGGCAATTAAATACAATGGTTATCATAAAGGTACCTATATATATCACAAAAAATTACAAATATGTAAAATAAATTGCTTCGCTGAGCGCAGCTGTATACAACCGCAGATGTCCAACCCTGAAGAGTTGGGGCCAAAATGGACACAATATTCATGCTTGATACAGGTCTGAATTTGGATTGTAATTAAATTTTTGATACATAATAGGTTTCTGACACAGAATAACTGTAGTCAAAGAACTTCAAATTGGTTATATGATTTGAATTTATATACAATTTTTTGCTTTTGTGCAATACACTATGCGAATTGACCCCCCCCCCCCCCCCTCCACAAAAAAAAAATTTACCCTGTTTTTTTGCGTTTGTGCAATACACTATGCTGTTGAATATTAACCCCCAAAAAAAATATTTGAAGAAATTCTAAAATGAGAAAAATTGTCCCCCCCAATTTTTTTCACCTCCCCCCTTTCCCTTATTCCAAAAAATAATTCTTTCCCTCAAGTTATGGTCAGTATCTCAGACAATCACCATTTCTTAATACATAATTTACAAGCAGTGTTTTTCCCCTTTTTTTGCCCCTAATTCCATAATGGTTGGAGCGATAACCCCCCCAAAGTCAATCCTAACCATCCCTTTGTAGTATGGAAACTTGTATAATTTCAGAGAGATTCATACACTTTAACACAAGTTATTGTCTGGAAACTACAAAAATGCTTATTTGGGCCCTTTTTTGACCACTTATTCCTAAACAGTTGGAACCATAACCCCCACAATCAATCCCAACCTTCCTTTAGTGGTTATATACCTTGTGTTAAAATTTTATTGATTTCTATTTACTTATACTAAAGTTATTATCCGGAAACCATCTGTCTTCGGACGACGCTGAAGCGACAACGTGATACCAATATATGACGAAAAAAAATTTTATTTTTGCGTTTGTATAAAAAATACTGGTCAACCTTTTTTTCATGTTATTAAGCTAAGACTTAAAAATAGTTTTTAACACTAACAAAATAGTTTTTAAATTCAGCTATCCATGTTAATTCATAATATTTGGAGAAAAAATTATATCCTCAAAGGGTGCTAATAATGGCTAAGAATCTACTAGTTGAGCCTTCTCATTCATATGCAAATCTATCTCCATAAAATAAATAATTTACAATATAAAGCTTGGTACATGCAGGAACATATATATTGATATATAGATATACTGTTCCCAGGTACATGTATTGCAAAGAGTTATACTGGCAAGACAGGTTCTTGAAAATGCACTACCATAATTTCTCATTCTTCTTCAGCATTTCTATTTGGATTTATTCCTGCAAAATCTACAAAATAAAACAATATTAATCAACCTATGTTTTATTTTTCTGTTGACCTATTCAGTGTATGACTCTTTCTTTAATCACTATTGCTGTTTAAAGTTTTGATTGCTGTGTTTATGAGCTTTGGTCCTTGCTTGGAAGTTGTTTAAAGCAATGCAGTGAAAAGAAACGATAAATTTGTAGTGAAGCGTTTAATTTTAAAATTTATCAGCTTATATTTGATGTTGAATAAAAATTACATATTAATTTGGATTAGGTAAAATTATTAACTTCAATAACAAACATGGTGGAACGTAAACAAACCGCAGAAAATCAGATTATTTCTCTTATTTTATGCTTTTCGTACTCCACACCCCTGTATAGCAGGTTCAATTTTTTGAGAATAAAACTGGACTATACAAGCCTTTATTCGGTAAAGACAAAAAATAACCCTGTTGTTTTATGATTGATCGATTTAATATTGTTTGTTTTATATAAAGTGGCAAATTCCTTTTTCTTTCTGTTACTCTCTATATTCTATTGTTAACAAAATATTCTAGGATGATGGGTAATAAAACAATTTGAAACTAAACAACCCATTAATGATAATGATATTTAATACAGACTACTTTCATTTGGCCCAGTGGTTTCAGAGATGATTTTGGAAAAAAGTTTACAGATCAAAACAGCCAGGACCAGGTTGTTCATCTCTCAGTTAAATATAACCCTTGGTTAAATATAACCCAGGATTAAATCTTTTAACAGAGGGTTACATAACCAAGGGCTAAAATTCCGTTGTTCGACTTCTTTTTAACCCTTGGTTACGTAACCCACGGTTCAATCTTCATTGAATGTTCTTTTTTTATATCAAAATAAGAATTATGAACACTTTTTCCGTGTCCTAGAAAAACTGTTTGGTCAATAAATAATATTTCTTATAAAAAACAATACGCTTTTCAGCGACTCAGTTCATTAAATAGAACAACAACAACGCGGACGTGACAGAGAGCACCTTTTGTTTAGAAAGACGCTTTGATAGTAAATTATTTGATTATCTAGATAAAAACATTATCTTACTAAAAATTGTTTAATTTTGCTGCATAAATTTGTTTATTAACATAGAAGATGACAGGGTAAAAAAAATGTCGATTTAAAAATGTATGATAGAAAGATGTAAATCATGATGCAAAAAAGGGGGAAGGACTGTAAAACATTATTAATCAGTTTTGATCAGTTTTTGATAACAAATGGTCGTAGAAAAAGAAGAATATGTTGTATCAAACGTTTAGTGACCTTTCCAATCTAGTAATAAACAGAGAATCGTACTTTTAGACAAAACTATTCCTTGGTTAAAATTTTAACAGAGGTCCGAAGCAAGGTTAAATCTGAATCATTTAACCAAGGATTTAACAAAGGGTTAAATTTAACCACAGGATGAACAACAGAAAATAACCTATGGTTAAATTTTAACCAAGGGTTATGATATTTAACCCTTGGTTAAAATTAAACCAAGAGATGAACAACCGGGTCCTGATGGTAAGTAAGATCAACAGCTGCCAGATTTTCTAAAATTTACAGAGAAGAAAGATTTTGTCTTGCTGAATTGTTTTGCAGTTAAAACTTTTAACCTTCTTCTTTAGCGTTCAACAGCCAGATGGTGAGTAAGATCAACATTTAACTTCATATTTTATCAGGAGGGTAGTAATGTTTATATTGGATGATCATATATACAGATACAAAATTTAAAACCATTCTAAATATTTTTTTTCCATCAGGACGCTATATTTAGCTTCACATGTTAATGTATCTATTTTTTCTATAGCTTCAAACTCGAACTGAGGAACCATCAATGTTTAGATGTAAACTGACCTTTTTATGGAAGAATATATAAAATAATATACATTCCTCCACATCTGCAAGCAAGGAAACTAGAGTCTATCTAACCTGGTGAAATAATGACAATCTGCGAATGAAGACCTTTAATATAAATAGTTGCACATACTGGTTTTATTTGTGATGCTAATGAGCATTGCAATTTACACTTTTGAACTAGCTATACTGTACTTTTAAAATAACCACCAAAAAACTGCCAAAAAAAATTACTGACTTTTTATTGGTACTTAAGCTGTCAGATTTTCTAAAATTTACAGAGGAGAAAGATTTTGTCTTGCTGAATTGTTTTGCAGTTTAAACTTTTAACCTAGCTTCTTAAGCGTTCAATATAACAGCAAATAAAATTATCTGCAGGGCCCAGATAGAAACAACCGCAGAGGTCGAACCCTGAACAATATGGACACATCATTCAAGCTTGATATAACTCTGAATTTTGATCATGACTAAATATTTGACACAGCACAGGTTTCTGACACAAAATGAATGTGTTCTAAGAACTTAAAAATTTGAAATCGAACTTTTACTGAATATGATTCAATATCCAAAATCTAAATTCATGGTAAGATTCAGTATGTCAAAGATGATGAGGAATTCATAATTTTTGATGAAACCAAACAAAGTTTAATTTTTGACCCTTTGGACCTCAATGCGATAACCGGCCCCAAATTCAAAATCTAACTACATAGTTAGATCCAGTATATCACAGAACACCAAGAATTAACTTTTTGTTAAAATGAAACTACCTGTTAGTTTAATTTTAGACCCCAAATTCCTTATTGGTTTAAGCCATAACCTCCAAAATCAATCTCAACATTCCCATTTGTGGTATGGATCCGTGTGGTACAATTTTATAGAGATCCACTTATTCATAATGTCTTCGGTATGGTATATGATTATTTTTACAATAACATTTTTCAACATAGCTCCTATAAAATTCAAGCTTACTGCCTAAACAAAGCAAAATAAAAATTTCAGGAACAATAATACTACAAAATATTTTCCTGGAAAATGGAATTTACCATATGTTGATAATTTTTTCAATTTACAGTTTTAACCTAGCTCCTATTGTGTTCCAAAAAAAAAAATCAGCATTTCAGGAGCAATGGCTCAAAATATTTTTTGTCCTATTTTTAGGGAAGATAGAACTTGTATTGCTGACCATTTCCCTCCTTGTAAACTGTCTACAATTACTAAAGTTCTTAAGATGTGAGCCAAGAGCTGCAGTTTGTTTTTTTTTTGCTTTTTTTTGTCTTTCAATTTATTATTCCAGACATAGCTGATATAGATGAGAAGGGACAGGGGAATAATATACGATGCACAGACAAGACAACACCATGGCCTTCTACTATAAATGTAGCTCAGGCATAAAAATTTGAAAAAGAAAAAAAAACAGAAAACCTAAAAAAAAACTCGATTATGTTTGCAATTATTTCACTAGAATACCTTTTCAAGTTTGAAAGATGAAAGGGTAGAGTTAACAAATTGAAACAAAAATGTTAAAACTGCAAAGGAAGTTGTATCCTTCCAAGCAGAAATTATTGACAATTTTAAAACACTTTTACTCATATTGTTATTCCTTCAAAATCATATTCTTTTGGTATTTCCAAGCAAGTATTGCTCATCTGATGTGTGATTATTTGAGTATTTTTTATTAATTCTTTTTTTAATTGACATCTCCCTATACAGAGATATTCAACCAAAATATACTCCTCAAAAATCGCATGCTATTTCTATAGCTAGATGATGAAAAACTCAAAATTTTGTGCTAGCATCAACAATTTGTAACCATATATTGGATAATTTTTATATGTGTCTAATTTATCCCATACGAACATTTCACTGTAGCAATGAAATAACTGCCAAATATATATAAGGCTGAAATATCAAACAGAACCAGACCCAAAAATTGCAAAATACTTGGTGATAGATTATTGTTTGAATTCCTAGGTAAATGTTTACATATAAATAAACAAATGCAGTTCATTACCTCCAGAAAATGAAAAATCTGCATGTAAATTTGGTACATCAGATGAAGAAATTTTTTCACTGGCTTTCACATTTGTGTTCTCCAATAAAATTTCCGTTTTTGACTTCGTATCATTCAATTCACTACCAATTGCCCTTAAGCTTGTAGATTGGTCTTCTGACTTTCTTCTATCACAATGTTCCGGTATAGCAACATCATCAGGTGATTGAGGCATTTGGCCTGTACCATTACATTCTTTACAACTATTCACAGCATTGTGACCGGACTGAACAGATGTACTTTCATTATTTACACCTGGCTTTGTGTTTGCAATTTTCGCAACTGTTTTTGAATTTTTCAAGCCATCTGAATGCATCTCTTGTTGTTTTTGTTTGGTTTGATTTAAAGTTTCTCTAAATCTGCCATTTTCAGTTTCTCCACTTATTTCATTTGACTGATAACATTGTTTAGATATTTGTCCGTTTGAATCATAAGTATCACTTAAATTCAATGCCTCCTCTTGAAGTAAACTATTGTTTTCTTGGCTTATATTTTGAGAGTCATTACCACAATCAGGTGAATGTTCAGATTTTAACTGAATACCTTCAGGATGTTCTTCATTTCTAATTGAAAAAGAAGACGTATTGCAATATATTTGCTTCTCTTCAAAACTGACCAGTGAGTCACAGTTAAGAAATCTTTATAGGGAAATTTTTTTATCAACCTGAATCAGAGACAATGTTTTTTTTTATTATTAAATTCCACACATAATCATATCCAAGTTAGGTTCAAATTTGTCAATTATCTCAGAACAAGAGGCTGTCAGAGAGACAGCAAACCGGATTTTCCTGCAGAGGACGAACCCTGAACAGTTGAGCAAGTATGGACACTACATTTAAACTTAAAACAGCTCTGAATTTGGATTGTGATTGAATATTTGACATATCATAGGTTTGTGACACAAAATGAATGTAGTCAAATAACTGATATATTTGAAATTGGACATTTAAATACCTATTATGGTCCAATATCCAAAATCTAAGTACATATTAGAATCAGCATATCAAAGAACCCCAAGAATTCAATTTTTGATGAAATCAGACACAAGTTTAATCTAGGACCCTTTGGACCTCAATGTGGACCAATTTGATAAAGGAGCCCACAATCCAAAATCTCTCAATACATGGTTAGATTCAGCATTTCAAAGAACCCCATAAATTCAAATTTTGTTGAATCAAACAAAGTTTAATTTTGGACCCTGATTTGGACCAACTTGAAAACTGGGCCTAAAAATGTAATATTTAAATAGAGTTTAGATTCAGCATTTAAAAGAACCCTATATATATATTTAATTTATGTTGAAATGAAACACAGATTAATTTTATCCATAATATTTTCTGTGCAAATGGAAATAACTCAAACTGGATAAATAGTTCTCTAAAATAAGATATGATGCAATTTTTCAAATTATAATCAATAATATAATAACAACAACCAGTTATGACTAAGTTCTCTAAAATTAGATATGATTTAACACTCAAACATTGTTAGAATCAGCATATCAAAGAACCAAAGAATTCAATATTTGATGAAATTAAACAAAAGTTTAATTTAGGACCCTTTGGACCTCAATGTGGTATTATCTTATTAATAATGAAAAGCTCAACCGTTTACAAGTTCTTAAACAAGAGGGGGGTGGGGTCACCCAAGGGGACTCACCTTATATTTCATTTGATTTTTTGTTTCGGGATGGGGATCTTGACCATTTACAAGTTTTCAAAAAGAAGGGGGGTGGGTGTTACCCCAGGGGAGTATCCCTCAATTTCATTTGATTTGTTTTATTGTCCTATTCAAAAATATATATGGTTTAGGGGTGCGGATCTCAACCGTTTACAAGTTATCAAAAAGAAGCGGGGTGGGGTTAATTCCCTGGACCTCCCCTATATTTCATTTGATTTGTTTTATTGTCCCATACAAGAATATATATGGTTTAGGGGTTAGGATCTCAACCGTTTACAAGTTTTCAAACAGGAGGGGTTGGGGGTGACCCAAGGGGACTCGCCTTATATTTTATTTGATTTGTTTTATTGTCCTATACAAGAAAATAAATGGTTTCAGGGTTGGGATCTTGACCATTAACAAGTTTTCAAAAAAAAAGGGGGTGGGGGTTTCCCCAGGGGACTTCCCCTCAATTTCATTTGATTTGTTTTATTGTCCCATTCAAGAATATATATGGTTTAGGGTTGGGGATCTCAACCGTTTACAAGTTATCAAAAAGAAGGGGGTGGCGGTTACCCCCAGGGGACTCAACTTTTATTTCATTTGATTTGATTTATTGTCCCATACAATAATATATATGGTTTAGGGGTGGGGATCTCGACCGTTTACAAGTACTCAAACAGGAGGGGGTTAGGGTGACCCCAGGGGACTCGCCTTTTACTTCATTTGATTAGTTTTATTGTCCCATACAGGAATATATATGGTTTCAGGGTGGGGATCTTGACCATTTACAAGTTTTCAAAAAGAAGGGGGTGGGGATTACCCCAGGGGACTTCCCCTCAATTTCATTTGATTTGATTTAATGTCCCATTCAAGAATATATATGGTTCAGGGTTGGGGATCTCGACCGTTTACAAGTTATCAATAAAATGCTCCGCAGGGCGCAGCTTGATACGACCGCAGAGGTCGAACCCTGAACAGTTGGGGCAAGTATTGACACAACATTCAAACTTGATGCAGCTTTGCATTTGGATTGTGATTAAATATTTGACACAGCATAGGTTTCTGACACAGAATGAATGTGGTCTAAGAACTTAAAAATTTTAAATTGGACATTCACCTATTATGGTCCAATATCCAAAATCTAAATACATGGTTAGATTCAGCATATCAAAGAACCCCAAGAATTCAATTTTTGATGAAATCAAACAAAGTTTAATTTTGGACCCTTTTGACCTCAATGTGGACAAAGTTGATAACGGGGCCCAAAAATCAAAAATCTTAATACATGGTTAGATTCAGCATATCAAAGAACCCCATATATTCAATTTTTGTTGAAATCAAACAAAGTTTAATTTTGGACCCCGATTTGGACCAACTTGAAAACTGGGCCCATAATCAAAAATCTAAATACATGTTTAGATTCAGCATATCAAAGAACCCTAAGAATTCAATGTTTGTTAAAATCAAACTATGTTTAATTTTGGACCCTTTGGACCTTAATGTAGACCAATTTGAAAACGGAACCAAAAATTAAGAATCTAAATACACGGTTAGATTCGGCATATCAAAGAACCCCAATAATTCAATTTTTGATGAAATCGAACAAAGTTTAATTTTGGACCCTTTGGACCTCAATGTGGACCAATTTAAAAACGGGGCCCAAAATCCAAAAACTAAATACACGGTTAGATTCAGCATATTAAAGAATCCCAAGAATTCAAGAATAAAACCCCATTAAAATTGGTCAAGAAATAAGCAATTTATACGAAGTATCTTCTTTTGCACAATACTGTGCAATTAAATATTTCTTGCTATTGCGCAATACTGTACAATTGATAATTTCTTGCTATTGCGCAATATTGTGCTATTAGATATTTCTTGCTATTGCGCAATACTGTGCAATTGAAGATTTCTTGCTATTGCGCAATACTGTGCAATCGAAGATTTCATGCTATTGTGCAATACTGTGCAATTGAAAATTTCTTGCTATTGCACAATACTTATTATATAATAATTTACACATCCTGTTTGGTGTGTATCTCCTACCATATCATTATTATTTGCTTTTAAATATAAATCAGTTGGTGTGTATCTCCTACCATATCATTATTATTTGCTTTTATACCTATTACTGTCAGAACAGTAGATGTCTCCTTAGAACACTGACAAGTCTCATATACCATACCACATAGAAACAGTAGAAGTCTCCTAATAAAACCTAACGAGTCTCATATACCATACCACAAAGAACAGTAGATGTGTCCTTATAGACAATAACTAGTCTCATATACCATACCACATTGAACAGTAGACGTCTCCTTATAGACAATAACTAGTCTCATGTATCATACCACATTTATCTATACTAATATAGATACTAAGAGTAGAAAAGGAAATGTTCTACTTGAATGAAACCCTTATCCTGCCATACTGGATACTTGATATCATACGCAAAACTTTATAATAACTATTCTAGTTTTATTACCAAACTAATATACTAAGACACCATTGTATACACAGTATACTAGTATCATATTCACAATCAGTTCTAAATCTATTATACTGAATACATATGAAAATAATAATAAATGTATCATTTGGCTTTCTAGGGGGCTACTCATTAAAACGTACAATAATACTAATTAAAATAACCAAATCAAAAACACTACCTACTCAACATAATTTTAAATTAATTAAAAAATAAATTGCCTAAATTATGCAATTTTAAGAACCTGCAGTAGAGCCCTGACAGGTGAAAAATTTATTTTAGAACCTGACTGGTAGAACCCAGACAGGTATAAATTTGAAAAATGAGAATACCTGCGGTAGATCCCAACAGGTACTTTTAGAACCTGAGTGGTAGAGCCCAGACAAGTCTGAATTTTGAAAACTGAGAATTCCTGCGGTAGATCCCAACAGGTACAAAAACTAACTTAATTATCACCCTGAAATAAAACAAAGCCTTAATAATTTATAAGATGTATTAATGAATTGGGGGAAAATAATTTCCCTGAAATTAGTAGGACAAATTGAACGAAAAACATAAAACTAAAACAAACAAAACACATATTGTTATGAGTAGCCCCTTTTAAATAAACATATAAAAATTAATTGACATTAAAATCATGACTATTTAATTTTTCAAGGTGCAGCTGGGGAAACGGTGGGTGGGCTGAATTAATTTTCCACAAGTAAAAAATATGACTGCTAACAGTGCAATGCTCAAACGACAACTGACCATCATATCAAAATTATATACAGATGTTCTCTGATTACACCCATGCTGTCATCATGCTGTTTCCTATCTATGATCTAACACCTATCCCTTAATCTCTTAATTAAAACAAAACTGCCTAGCTGTCAAGCTGACAAGCTGACCTTATCATTAAGAAAATAAAACCAGGGAAAGTACATACCCTAGGAATTTATCAAAATATGTATAAACTCTAATTTAATTTTTTAAATTTCCATTTATACTTATTACTGTCAGAACAGTAGATGTCTCCTTAGAACACTGACAAGTCTCATATACCATACCACATAGAAACAGTAGAAGTCTCCTAATAAAACCTAACGAGTCTCATATACCATACCACAAAGAACAGTAGATGTGTCCTTATAGACAATAACTAGTCTCATATACCATACCACATTGAACAGTAGACGTCTCCTTATAGACAATAACTAGTCTCATGTATCATACCACATGTATCTATACTAATATAGATACTAAGAGTAGAAAAGGAAATGTTCTACTTGAATGAAACCCTTATCCTGCCATACTGGATACTTGATATCATACGCAAAACTTTATAATAACTATTCTAATCTTATTACCAAACTAATATACTAAGACACCATTGTATAAACAGTATACTAGTATCATATTCACAATCAG